TGACTTTTCACGGATTCCGCCATCTGCCTAAAAAATTCATTCCTCTTCAAAAGAATGCAATTCAACTGCGCACCGATCATCGAAGTTCATCTATTATTTCGCTTATTATTTCAGAAAATACGTGAGTAACTTCATTGATATATATACACGAAGGCTTCACACGTAAGTTTTTCTCCAGGCTTTTTCGTCGTTTTCCAAAACTGAACAATAGGCGGCATATTTCCGACTACTTCTCAGTAAACCTGCAAATAGGTTTTTGATGATCATCTTAATGATATTATGAATTAAAATATTACTAAATTTAATTTTAATAATGTGGATAGTTTTATAATTTTGCTTAAAATGTTAATTCCTTAGTTTCACTTCTTCCAGTTCCTCATCGGCCATGGGTGAAGGGGGGTCAGCTGGATTCCGGCCCTAGGGTAAAGGGGGTAGGAACACATTATCGCCTTTTCACATGTATGCTACTACGTCGGTTCACGACTTCATGTTTTTTTTCGATTTATCGTGTTTCGTGTTTCTCTGTTTATGGTGTTTACTAACCATGATTTGGCTGGCTTGTCACCTACTTTCGGATGAGCAACAGCGCTGCTCCTTGGGACTGTAGACAGCCGCATTTCGGCTTTCCCAAAATAAGGCAGGGGTATCCAAGCGTTTGTGGTGTCAGGTTGATGGATACCTGGCAGGAACCAATCGCAGACGTTTTGGACGGCCCGGAGAAGTGGCAATGGCATTTCCCAATGCCAATCACGTGACCTGCCTTGAACAGATAGAAATTTTTTCTTCCTCAACACCTGAGGCCCTTATTCGCTGTTTGTTCCTGCTGAAAGTGATAGGCTAGTCTATTCCACTCTAGCAATGTTCTCCTTACTCACACAGGGTTTGGCACACGTTTACGTGTAAGAGATAAAGATAAAGATATGTTTTACTTGTAAAAGAAAAGTTGAACAGCTTTTTAGTTCTTACAAATGCTCTCCCAACTCATCGGAGATTCCGAGAAAAACATGTCGACGTGCTGCATTGATACATGTTACTTTTCCGTGATAATGGCAAGTAGACAGTGCTCATTAAAATCTGTGGAAAAATATTTCTAGACTAAAGCTAGTATTTTGTGGGAATTTTTTCAAAAAGTGGGTCCGGATAATGGAAAAGTACCCTCTTTGAATCACGAGGATAAGACGATTGGGAAATAATACATTTATAAAGGAAACATAATTGGAAGCGTATTTGGAAGGCGATACTGCTACAGGATAAGGCACAGGACGCTATTCCAAAGACACTTCGCCAAGCCAACTGGGGAATGAATGATGGAACACGTAGCGCATCAGTTACTGAGGGAGAAAAATGTGTACACGGGCCACAAGCTTTGATGTGGAAAGGAAGGATTAGATATCTGTCGGCACTTTGCTAAGATAGCAAGGCGAAAACAAGTAACCATGAAAGACCTCAGCAGGGAGGGTTCTGGGAAAGGAAACTGTGAGTATTTTCAACATGAAAACGCTGAGGAAGTAGAATGCTGTGGGCTTTCTGGCCTCCAAGGCGAACACTCGATATGAAAGAAGCTTAGAAAACTGCATGCACTTTCACTGGCTGCTCAGGGACACTGCGAAAATAGGGTACACAGAATTTTCTATGGAAAGAACTGCGGACATCTTAGCCAACAAAGCCTTCATGGTGAGAATTATGGGATACTGTCACGGAACAGAGACTGTTGGAAGCTGTGGACACCTTCGCTGAGTCAGCAAGGAGAAAGAATAAGAGCGCCGCGCTAATAGGGGACCTCGAAAAGAGTGAAGGGGAATTGTATGCATCGTGGCAAAAACATGGGAGGGAGGGGGTGTATGGGGAGGAAGGTTTCCAAAGTATGAGAAAAATTGAAAATGAGAAAGTAAGACACTAGCTATATCAGATGAAAAAATGGGCACCATGAACAGCATCAACCATGGGATTTGAAGAAAAGAAATATTCGAGGATGAAAGCCGTGTGCGCCCTGGCTGAGAAAGCAGCTAAGTAAGGGCCTGAAGGTCAGTGCATTTCGGGTTGTTGGATAGTTCCAGCGCAGACTGCGGGCGCCTTAGCCAGAAGAACCTTTTTATGGTCTTTGACTCAAAATGGGAAAGGAAAGAACGGCAAAGGAAGTGTGTTTACTGGAGGGAGGATTTTGGAGTTTTGACAGGAAAATGAGGTCACGGAAAGCTATGAACACTTTCACTAACGTAGGCGGCAGACTGATCCTCAAGGCAGTGTCCGGAGATATAAGAACAGTGGTTCTCAACAGTTTACTAAAAGCGGGCTGCCCATGCAAACCGAGTCGGGTTGCGACTGCAAAATATTGCTTTAGAAGCGAGAATTCGCTTCGAAGGTCTGAACAGATACCCCTTGGTCGTCGACCGAAGCAGGAAGTCGTGGCAGGACACACCGCTGCGTCAATGACAGAGTCCCTACGGCCGCGCCCGCCACGATGTCCTCGGTAAGAAAACTCTAGGTGCCCTTGCCAGAAAAAGATTCGCTGAAAGGATTTCTGGATCATTAGGAAAAGTTGAGAGGGAAACTAACCTCGATAATTTGCATAGGTCAGTGTCCAACAAGGAGAGAAGACAGGGCAACACGACAAAGAAACCCTCGAAATATAAGTAGTAAGCGTGGCCCCGCGGAAACGGCTGGCAAACTGGTAGGAACACCGATCCGTGATAATATATTTTATCTCTTACAACACCAATGAGACTAGTAGCACGAAACTATATAAGCAATATTAATATAAAGGTAAACACGTATAAAGTAGGCAAATAAGGAAGAGATCAGTATAGACACTGGTGGTACGGCAGCGGCCCAAAGAGGACGAGAGGAGAGAAATCACAAGCGTCTACTCGGCGGCTTGGCATCGGAGAATCTCCTCAAGAGCATCGCTTGACCGTGTCGTCACGCCCTAAACATATGAGTCAGCGTGCGGCGAAGAAGCATGCATAGACATGCTTACACACTCACGGCATTAAGTTAAAGCTTTCTAGAAGTGACTAAGGGCAATCTGAGCAAAAAAGTACGAGGTAGGAAAATTCGGGGTTTTAAAGTCGAAAAGGGAGGGAATAGGGAGAGGGAGGAGAGGAGAGCATAAAAGTGTTCAGAGGACGTAATTGTAGGCAGAGCAACCAAAGGGAAAGATTTTTAGGCTTCGACAGGAAACACTGAGGGAGCTGAAAGCTGTAGGTACGATTAAAGCAGACAGGGTGAAAGAATGGGTCCTACTATATGTCCTACTATGCACTTTGTCTGCGAAGATCTGAATGGGACTATGGGCACCTTAACAAGAATCTCACTAAGGAATTCGATAATGGGGATGTTTAATGGATAAGTCGAATTACAAACTGTGAACGCTTCCGATTAGCTTCAGGGAAAGAGAATAAGCGTGCAGCGCGGGGCCAGATGTGAGGGAGAAAACTACGAGTACACCGCTAAACCCTTGAAAGACTATCAATTTACATGGCAACACTAAGGGAGTGGAAATAGGGAAAAGGAAATGGGCACCGTAGCGATCCAAGTATGGTTCATTTTCAAAATCGTGACGACGAGTTGACTGCGGTTTTTGCGCACACAGGAGAATAAAACACCCATACAAACAGGCAACACCTCAACGCTAAGCTTATTCACTTCCAGTGAATACTATTGTATGTAAGCAGAAAAACTATTTGAGTAGAGATAGAAACCAAGGATTGAGAGTACGTGCGTGTTGCGCGCGGTCGCACCATCGTCACGATTTTTCGAATGCCCTATACTCACTTAAGAGAAAACCATGCAACATAGTTTCGACGTGGAGACGCTAAGGGAGGTAGGGACAAGAGAAGGCATCATGGGAACACTACACACTGACTTAGGAAATTTTTGGCTAAAAACTTGCAAGAAAAACTTTGGACTTCGCTATCTTCAGAACCAAAAATATCGGCATTTTGATGAACAAAAAGAAAGAATAATTCAATTCACACAAAATATAAAAACTATGAAAATAATGATAAAGAAGTTTAATGGATGGCAAATACCCTAGAACCAACCTCCTTCCAACTTTCTTCGCGACGCCTCACAACTCTCTTGCTCTTGAAACTTTTGTATTACACAGTCACGCTCGCACTTGACCAGTTTGATTTGTTTTTCAATGTCTGTTCGTACTTCCGCATACTGACAGATACGTTTCTGAAAAACACTCGGAACATTTTGTGAAGTACAGGATTGTGGAAGCATCAAATTTCATAATGTGCAGTAACCATCAGAAACACTTCCTGTACTTCTGCCCGCCTAACGCAAACTGTTGTCAGGTCATATGGTTGAGTGAACGCACATTCATGAATTTTTCTGATACTCTCATCCAAGGACCGATTTAGAATCATATCGAAACAGTGCCCAGGCACCTGTTGCCATTGCCGAGAATAATAATATTTTGTGAACTATTAAGACGAGTGCCTTTCAGCTGACCCCCAACAATAAATTGGTCTGAAGAAGCAGTGATAAGATGGAAGCTTTATCACTGCTACTCCAACTGCAGCACAGATGTTTTCGACAGCATATCTGCGTAAAGCTTTTACGCCGCCGTGGCTGGCAATAAATACGTTCAGCTAAAAGTCATAGTGATGAAATGTTGTTAGTAGTTTGAGCTTTACCTCAGCCAGAAGGTCGGCTTTACTGCTGCTTCCGCAACAACCACTCCGTTTAACCGAAGGTAATTCTCAATCACGACCTTGGTAGAAGACCGGCTGGGTATCTGAATCATGCTCGATAACCGTTATTGAACCCTTGAACTTACAGTTACCTTTTATTGACGAGAATCGTAAGGGGCGTTATGCATTATAATGGATAAACGCCGACCACCAGCGACCGCCAACATGTGAGGAAGGTGATTCGTTCAACCACTCCTCGAAAAGCATGTGGTTCATGTCGCCGTGGTGGTCCTCGTCAACTGAACTGCGGCCACTGAAGATTACCCTGGTACAGCCCGGAATGACTTCTGATTCGTCATGGCCGATGACTTTCGCTCTCCGCCTCTTGTTCTTCGTGGCAATTTTCCCACAGAAGTCTCCTGCATCGTAGAGGCGGAAGCAAACCGCGGAATTCTGTTGTCGTTCAACCCCCCTCTTCCGTGTCATGCAGACGTAGAAGACCCACGTCTCTCCTATGCAGACGATACAGTAGGCGTCACTCCTTCCCCGTTCGATGGCGGTGATAAACTTCGCTCGCCGATTCACAATGTCAGGCTTCTCGAAGACGTATCGTTGTCCGCTGTTGATCCTGTAAGTAAATCCAATACCCCTCAGAAGGCAGCAAAACATTGTCTCAGGGAACTCGAAAGAGGGGTAGAGGGGTACGACGTCAAATCTCGTAAGATTAGTGCATGCGTTTTCCTTTTCTTTGAGGGACCATAAGGTAGTTCTTGTTGTAAATAATGGTACGTAAGCGGCGCCTAGGATATTTTGAGAAAATTTCAGAAATTCTTCCACGATCAAAACATCATTTTGAGTCTTGTGCATTGAGAGTGAGTGCTCTAGAACCATAGGGCATCTTCTTGTGAATAACGGTCTGTAAGCGGCACATAGAGCATTTAAGAATTCAAGGACTAAAATACAATTTGAGCAATGAGACTGAGTTGTAGAATCGTAAAGCAATTTTTGTTCTCTCCACGGCACTTAAGGCATGAAAGGAACGTCGTTGCCGAAGTTCAGATTGGGTCAATTAGAAAGTTGAAACTTGTATTGCGGTAGGATGTTGGAATCTTTGGCCCCAATACGAAAGCATCTCCAAAATTCGCCAGATGTTGTGTGTATGCCATTTGAATGTGAGGTATCCGCACACACTATGTCGGGAATGGCCGCATAACGCAAGACCTCCAAGAAAGTTTATGGAACTGTTTTTGGTTTTGGAAAAATCTCACGGCGTTATCAAACCTGGCCAGCAGGACCGAAAATCGTTTTATTGTGTGCAGTAATCGCGACTCCCTATTCTAAGAAAATGGTAAAAAAAGAACCTTTGGAGAGGTTTTGAACAATTAACAAAATCGAGCGGGGAATTATAAAAAGGAAAGTCAGTGGTTTTTGAGCATGTTTGCTCTTATTTTGTGTAAATGAAGCCTTCACGGCCTTCATGAAAAGTCTTTCAAGCAAGGAATACCTTGTTTACCAAAACCCGGGTGTTGTGCAGGAATCTATTTGAATAAATCAGCGGTGCCAATATATCAATATTCTAACCGGGCACCACAAACGATCTGCCTTACCCTACGGGTCGATAGTCGCATATACAATCTAAAGGCAGAAATGAGTAACGCAGTGGTTGTAACTGAAAAAGAAAGACCAACCTAAAGTTCTTGAGATGAAAATAAGGCGGCTCGATGCAGATTGTGAGTTCCCGTCATGAACAAAAATAGATCCACTTCCGAACTCAGTGTAATGGGCGTCCATATATGAATCCAACTCCTAACGAACACGCAGCTGAATGCCATATTCACTATCCTTCAGTTCTTTTTTGTAAAGCGGCGCGCCATGAGTCAGCACTGCCGGAGTCTGCGCGATTTGCCTGGAGGTTGCTCGCTTCTTCGCAAAAATGGTAGGTAGCGCTACCATTGTCTTCGTCGCTAACGTCATTGAAGGCCGTTGTTATCTAAAATAAAAGTTCAAGTTGGAATATGGTTATAGATCAGGAATTTTGGAGATCTTCCTTGTCTTTACGAAACATAGAAGATGAGAGAATGGTATATAGGCAACTGAAGATAATATAGTGTGTACTCCGGCCAGCTTCCCATTGGTATTTGCCAATTTCATCAGTTTCTGATAGAACTCCATGCTTCTCTCTCATTTTCTTGTTTTTGTTGTAATATAATCCCTCTTTTTCAGGTATAAGCAACCTGCGACAACCGTTGTTGGTTTCACTGCTTTAGAAGTCCTGGGAGCTCCTGTATTGAGTAGCGTTCTCGAGTTTTTCCTTCTTTTCTTTGGCAATCAAGATTTGAGTACTTTTCAAGAAAATATCTCTTCAATTGCTTCTTGTCAAGAGTCATCTCGACTCGATGTAAAGTGTAGACAGTGCCTGAAGTCAAAATTGAGCCTTTCGAAAAGCTTATAGGGCCCTCTTTTCGGAAACGTCCACGTTTTTTTCGAAATTTGAATATTGGATCTTCTACGCCCACAGAAAAGAGACGTCTCAAGAATGCTGGTGTTCTTTTTCTCCTTTGCTCCTTACTACCGTATTTTTCAATGCAAATTGAAATTTGCATCTATTTATTGAAATTGATGTAGTAATGGAAGTTGCGTGCATCTTATTCTTGCAGAAGTTTCTTTCAACGTAAACCTAGAGGTTTCCACTTTTTAATTATCTCTCTAAACCTAGAGGTTTCCTTTATTATCTCTCATGTGTGCACAGATTGCTCTTCTGATCATGATCGAGGTGAGCGGCATCAAAAAGAGCGCGCTAACTAACTCACCTCATGTGTATCCTTGTATTTTGACAGAGACTTCGTGATGTGCTCTTTCTTTATTCGGAGACCCTGACAAAGTGATATCTCTTACAATCGAAATATGGTCATGTGAGTAAATGCACCGCTGTCCACCATTGCCGTTTTCATCCTGGTTTCTTGAAGCAGATACCCATTCAGGTTAAGTATCTTCAATGTGCTCTTAATGTTTACCTCCCTTTTGAGTACTAAGCGATGCAAGATAGCCTAGGTTGATGCAAGATGGCAATCGGCCAGTGTCTTGCGTTTTTGCGATTGTAAATCTAGGATGAGGACGCCAACGACGGACGGTGTGTGCAATGACACATAATCATATGAAATGATTCGACTATGATTGTTCGTCATTATAGTACCAGTGTTGCTGCAGTTATAGAGGCACTGTCAGATCGTGAAGACCGGATTGGCTGCAGTGGCCGTATTCATCAACGAAACCAGTGCTCAGATAATCGCCGGGGGCAAGCGGCCATGCGAATTTTGAGCAAGCGGGCACCGGAAAAATAGTTCGCTGATTTTTTGTGGTCCGCTTGCAGAAATTTGGAATAATTTTGGCCAATTTTTAGACGAACGCTCGAAGATCTATCGCGGTTTTTCTATACATAAGTTGCGGCACAGTGGCCGCATTCTCGCGGATTTTCCGCGAGAACATGCAAAATTATTGAGAGCCGCACGGTCCTTTTTGAAGGACCGCACAGCCCTCAGGTACTTTGCGCTGAGAGTAACTACCCCAAACTTGGGTAATAAAACCATCGATGGCACCTCTGCCACATAGAGTCCCATCTTTTCTCGGCGTACGCCCGAAACTGCGTAAAAAGATTCTGAGCGCCTGCTGAAAGTTTGGACATCGCTCGCTGAAAGAGATTGTTTGACGAGCGCTTGCAGAAAATTTTGTATTGATGCCCGCTTGCAGAAAACGCAAATACCGCCCGCTGAAGATTTGGCCACGCCCCGAAATCCTGCTGACCGCCTGCAGAAAAGCGCGAGTTTGCGGACCGCCTGCCCCCGGCGATTATCTGAGTGGGTTCCGGGATCCACTGGGTAGGCTTAACCCACACGATTGGTATTACGAAGCTAGTGGCTGCGCAAACCCAACAACCCTTTTTGTGAATATCGATCCAACCCAGTGGCAATGTTTTCGTTACCCACCGAGTACCGGAACCCACTGGGTTCGTTGATGAATACGGCCACAGATTGCTCACGCAGGACGCCACAAGTTCCCCATCTGAACGAACGAGGTACTTTCACACTTCCCAAAGCCGCTACAGGTATTGAAAGCTAACATCTAATATTTGAAAAGCATCTAACGTGGGAAGAAAAACGAAAAAGGTTTGAGAGCTTATTGCGTGAGCAACTTCCACAAATTCACAACCTTGTGAATCAAGGAAATCCCTATATCGTGCAACAGCAACTAGAGAACCGCAACAATTCGTATCTGTTGCCAAACTAATTTTTCCGTTTGTGATCCTCGTAAGTTTGCCTCTTACCACCTCGCTGTGGCGAACCCAGAGTGCGGACAGAGCGACCCTGCCCCAACTTATACAAAGTTTTAAAAGCTCAGATGAGTGTGAAAAAATTTTGAGGGTGCAGTTGCCTCCACGTCCTCCTTTTCTAGGAGTTCAGACCCGCTAAAATTCTTTCAAAGCCAAAAAGCCGTTCCGAACCACGCCTCTTCATCCAAAAAAATTTTTGTTTTCGCTCGAAAAAAAAAACACTCGGACAGCCGTGCCACCTTCCTTTTGTAAGCGAAAACCTAAGCACTGTTTGGCGGGACTTCCATGCGGAAAGGGACTGCAAGGCCGATTATTCCTTTGAAAAATGAACCGGTAGCAAGGGTACGAGTGCTAGACAGTGGTATCACAGCAGCAGCACTAGTCAGACGTTCGATGCATAAAGTCATACAATTTTGTGACATCAGTGTGGTTTGAGCTACCAGAAAGACGTTGCCAAACTCAAATCACGAGAGATCAGAGTCGTCAGCAATGCTGATCTACCGTATGCTGATCTGACGAGGGCGGGCTTAGTGCTACACACTAAGCCCGCCCTCGTCCAGAAGCGCATGAAACCGAATCTCACTGTGATCCCGAACTCAGGACCCGGCCACACATCGCCAAAGCGCCCAAATCGCCCAAATTTCTCTAACCTCTCTTCACTTTCTCTCATTTCTCCTCCCAAGAGAAAGTGAAGAGACATTAGAGAAATTAGGACGCTTTTGAGCGCTTTTGGGCGCTCTTGAGCGAAGTCCGGCGGGGCTTTGAAGTTCGGTAGCGATATTATTTCGATCGAGAGACAGGTGGTATATAGAGATTTTTCATCATTTGTTTCCAAATGTGTTAGTGGTTTTGCTCAATACCTTTCTTATGTTTTTTTTTCAGCAAACAGATTATTTGGAAATTATCACAACCGAAATGCAGGGAGTGCAAATGCAATGGATTCGTAAGCGAGGCGCGATTATGCCTGAGGTTTTGCAGTTTTCAAAGTAATTTTTCCGTTTGCTGCTTCGGCTTACATCGCCCTCCTCCTTCTTTCGCTAAAAACGACCTTCTGCTGGGGCAATGACTCAAACAAAAACCACTTTTAAGGCACAGTATTTGGACTAGCGAAGATGTGCCGCTAATGTATGGAACTGTGAAAGATGAGGATCACTCACTGTAAATGTGGCTGCTGCATTTACCACCTCCTCGACCTCCACGGTTCCGCCCGCCACAACTTCCTCCAGGTGCTCCTGAACAATCAAAATGTCACCGGTGAGTTTTTTGCCAGAAGCAGACTTACAGCCTTTACGAAATGCGACGCGCAGATCTTCTTGCTTTTCCTCCTAAAGGCTGCAAAGCACTCTTTCACGACTCGCTCCTCGAGAGCCGCATAGAGTTTCAAAGCCGACAACATTATTATGTTGCTGACCATGGCTCTCGAGGAGCGAGTAGTCGCCTCAATATTAGTAGGTCTGCGGCATACGCAGCACACGACCCCTCATTGACGCTGAAGCAAACGGTAAAATCTAAGTGTTCAGCATCTATCAAATTTTGAAAATTAGCATATGAGAACTGAGATGTTCCAATTAGTGATAAAACCAATGACTCAGCTAAGCAAGGAAGGAGCAGGTAATATAACGGTTACTTGATATCAATACTTGCAACGGCACTCCCTTTTGGTTTTGTGATGGCTAGGCATTCATGTACCTACTTTATTGTGATAGCTGCTATTCTGTACATTATTTTTGAAATTAATCCCTTTGTGTGTACTTTTGTTTGAATTATTATTCAAACTTCCTCACGCTTGATAAATTACTCAGATCTTCCCGTTTCGTTTAATCCTTGACTATGCCTGCGCATTGGGCGTCAATATCTCTTGATCACAATGAATGTCTCTCTTGATTCTGCAATACCGATAAAAGGGTAGTCAGCAATGTCCACTGAGTCGATGCGTACCATCCTCGAATAGAGCAAACTAGCCACTTGGGAAACGAAGCAATTACTGGATGAAGGAAGCGTCTAGAACCCGACTGAGCAAAACAATGGGAGCATCGACAGTCCCCACCATATGGGATAAGGTGAGAACGATCTCTACAGGATGAAGGGGCAGTGGTTGCAGCCCCTCCAGGGTGTAGAGTGTTTCAACGAGGGAATAGAAAGATCGATGCGGTAGGGGGAGGGGGTCTAAATGTACGTCGAGGGCTGAGTGTGCCGTCGACCGCACCGCACTAAAAGCCGAGAAAAACCAGTTTTGAGGTGAAGCTGCGCCTGACAAAACCGACAATCTACTTCCAGACTCTACATTTGAAGACTTCATTGTGAGATTTTGTGGATGGCAGTTCTTTATCCATTTCCATGCACTGTTGTCATGGGTATAGAAAAGTAAGTGTAAGCAGGATATAAGCGATTTCCATGCGTATAGCGGGCCTGGCCCTGCAGACATTACAACAAAAACTTGTTAAATCTCCATTTCAGAGCATTAGTTTTTGTACTCGGTATCAAAAACTGCCATGCGAATACATTGACAAATGTCGGCAAAGCTCCGCCAGCTATACTGTGGGAATAGACGATATCATCTGAAGGATACTCCACTGACTATGAGATCTTTGATGGCTTTAGAATCCGGATGCAGTACGAGAAGACTATTAGGCGCTTGTGCCCTTGCTTCATACGGATTTATGCCTATCATACTGATAAAATTCTTGCTCCAAAATTTTTTCATGATTCCAAGAAGATGTTAGGAACAATCTAACGACTAAATCTTGACTTTGCTTAGAGTTGCTCTTGGTAAGCATAAGAAGGAAATGGCACGATGGGACCAAGGACGGAATCTCTACTAGATTTTGACGTTTCAAAAACCTTGGCTAATGATTTTCATAAGGAGGATGGTAGAGAAGACAGCAACAGGGAGATCAAAACTGCCTCATTGCCAGAAAGTTTGAACTGTCCGGAGAATTATAGAGCAGAATTTTTAGGGGTAAGGCTCAAGAGGAGAAATCATAACTTCTGTAGATGAGCCCGTTTTTAGCTGCTTTGTGTGCTTGGTGCTTTGAAGCTTTGAATTTCGTTGTTTTAGTTTAGTAAAAAAAAGACGCATGCAAATTTTAAGCGCACGATTCTTAGGATAAAATATTCATAATTTCTGTAGACGAACTAAAACAATTGAAACACCAAGCTTAAGCCTAAGCCTAAGCCTAAGCACTATGGCAACCTTCTTGTCCCCGCTTTCAGAAAATTTATACTTTACTAGCGACCCTACGGGTCGCTAGCAAGTGGGTCAGGGCAGATACAATATAAGGGCTTAGCTGTGACTAAAAATATTTCTGAATAAGTTTTCTGTTCTTTTCCTGAGAACATTTTTGCGAAGAGGATTCTACAAAAGGAAAACTGCTCGAAGAAGCGATAATCTCCACAAATCATTCAGCATTTCTCGAAATTTCTGCTACAACCATGCATCATATTATTCTTATCTCGTTTACACGCTCTTTATGCAACTCAACTCCTCACAGAGACATTCAGATACCCCCCCCCCACTTTTCTACCCTTTCAAAGAGAATTTGCTCTTTCAGTTCTTCTCAACAAGTTCCATAAAAGATCGAATCAAGTAGCAGAACATCTATCGTTTTGGAAGTAGAAATACACCATAAGAATTAGTGTACTACAAAAAACACTTTTCTCTCAGAATCAATTCCGACAGCAACGAAATTAATCGTCTAAGAACTTTGTTAAAGAATCCTTATTTTTTCGCTGAAGGATTATGAAGCTTTACTACAAAAGGGAGCCACCCAAAGACCGTCAATGATAAGAACTGCACAAACGTACATACATGAAATTTCTTTCCCTGTCCGATCAAATTGCCCTACGTGCCGCTTGAAGACCGTTTAAAAATTATAAGGACCGCCCCAAACATGCAAAAATCTGTTTCCCTGCCCGATCGGGTTGCCCTACGTGCCGCTTATACAAACCAATATTATCTATCTAAAAGATAATTCATGCCCTACGTGCCGCTTGAAGACCGTTTAAAAATTACAAGAACTGCCCCAAACATACAAAAATCTGTTTCCCTGCCCGATCGGGTTGCCCTACGTGCCGCTTACAGACCGATAGTAACTATTCAAAAATAAAGTTTATTCCCTACGTGCCGCTTGATAACCGTTCAAAAATTACAGAAACTGCCCCAAACATAAAAAAAATCTGTTTCCCTGCCCGATCGGGTTGCCCTACGTGCCGCTTACAAACCAATATTATCTATCTAAAAGACAGTTCATGCCCTACGTGCCGCTTGAAGACCGTTTAAAAATTATAAGAACTGCCCCAAACATACAAAAATCTGTTTCCCTGCCCGATCGGGTTGCCCTAAGTGCCGCTTACAAACCGATATTATCTATCTAAAAGACAGTTCATGCTCTACGTGCCGCTTGAAGACCGTTTAAAAATTATAAGAACAGCCCCAACATGCAAAAATCTGTTTCTCTGCCCGATCGGGTTTCAACAGACTTTTGTATACCAAAACGGTGACAGGTTTTCCTCTCTTGCACAGCAAACCTGCAGAGAATACAGTGCCTAATTATCACTCATCTCAGATCTCAGTAAAATAAAAACAAATTTCTTCAATCATCTTTCGTTTGTTTTGTTAGTTCTTTCAGACGTTCCGTTACATCTGCTCATTTGTATCTGCTATTTGTACCTACATGCGGATGTCATATTTGGAGTAAAATCTCTCTCACTGAGTGTTTTCAAGATACTAAACACCTCACACAGAAGAGTCGAATTTGTAATGAACTCAGTTCTAGCTCCGATGTTACCGGGAGTACGCTTGGCAAATTTCTACCTCAAAATTCCCCTCTCCATAGAAACTAAATTTTCGGCGATAACAATCTTATTAGAAGCAAATATCAAAGAACATAGAAGCACAAGAGAATGATGATCCAACTGCGAAAGCACTTCCGGTCAGATTAGATTCCCCTCTCCATAGAAACCAAATCTTCGGCGATGACAATCTCTTACTAAGGGCAAATTTCAAAGAACATCTTCTCGAATGAGAAGAATCCAGAACAACAGATATTGGAAGAAATTCTAGAATGAACTTAATGGAGACTTAATGGAGAACTTAGTGGAAATTAGAACAGTTCCTAGGATGGTCAAAACTGCAGACGTGAAAAATAATGACGATATCGATCGAAAACACGCCCGAAACATGCCGTTATGCATGTGTGTTGTTTTAATTGCCATACTTACGAAATTTGGCACCGTTCCAAAGGCCTACGAAAATCTGGCATCGTGCCATTTGACTGACTTCAACTCGCCGCTATTGGCAGCAATCCAAGAACAAAGATCAGTGTATTTCATCATAATTTCTCCGTCTGCGGCCTCCTCGTTTGCCATGTTCCACGGACCAGGGGTGTTAATGGGTAAACAACGATTCCAAAATATATTACGTAGTGATCTAGGGTATATTCATAGGAGGAGGTAGTGAAGGGGAGCGGCTGCAAGTGATTTCTGGGCATCTAGGGTTTATGAGATAGAGAAAATTCATACCTGTAAGTGAATAGATGGAACATCGAAGGCCCACCATCGTAAACGTCTTGTCCCCCGGTTTCAAAAAATATAGATAGTTGGTTTAGGGCATTCAAAAAGAAATTTAAATGGGGACCAGGCATGGCTCTTTTTAGAATGCACTCATGTTAGAAGCCTTACCTAAGAAATCTCCTTCATAAAATCCTCACCATCCCCTTTCACCAAGCCTTTTTATAAATGGAGTCCATAAAAGCTGTAGATTTTCTGAGAACGGAGGACGCGGGTTCCGATAGGGGCCTTCTCGGTGTTCCACCTAGTCATCTAAAGAAGTAGAGAATATTTTTGTCCTGAAGTAGATACTATACTTGGGTAATTCGAGGATTTTTCATCGAATGAATGAATATCGAATAAATTCGAAAAGGAAAAATTTCGAATAAACGAATATCGAATAAATTCGGAAAATCAAAAATATCGAATGAATGAATTTCGAATAAATTCGGAAAATCAAAAATATCGAATGAATGAATTTCGAATAAATTCGGAAAATCAAAAATATCGAATGAATGAATATCGAATATATTCGAACATTGGAAGTCGAATTTCGAATAAATATTCGAATGATTTATCGAATAACTAAAGCAATCACCTTGCCGACATATCTGGCTAAAGCCGATCCAATCATAATCAGCCCCCTAGTATCCCCTATACCAAATCCTAGCTCAAAATTTTCCAAAAATTGCTGAAATCATTAAAATAGATTTCGGTTTGAATCAGCACCCTCACTTACCCCTTTGTACCAACTCCCAACCTCGTAGCTCAAGATTTTCCAGAAATCGATAAAATCGATAAAGTAAATTTTTATTCATAAGCACCCCCACTTACCCCCTTGTACCAACTCCCAGCCCCGCAGCTCAATATTTTCCAAAAATCGATAAAGTCGGTCGGCAACTAGTCTATACATCAGCAAAAAGTCATATTTTACCCATTACTGGACGATCTAAAAAAGCAGTCGATATAAATTTTTATGCTGTGCCTAAAAGATTCAACATCTGTGGTAAGCTGCCATTACATCTGAAGACATCTCGTAACTGGCAAATCGCGTACGACGATCTAAACCGTCTATTGCTGCACTACAACTGCGATGTCCTTTACTCAATATATACCAATTCGCAAAAAACTCCAAGGTAACGAAAAGCAGTTTTGCAATAATTTATGCGAGCAAGAGTGCTCACTAGTGTGGACTTTGCGTACGGCAAGCATGAGCAATGCAAAGAAAGAAGAACAGCCATTTCAATTTAGTATGAACTCAGAACATGAGCTTGAATTTGATATATTCTTTGCTGATTTGGTGCCAATAGCAGTGCGAACAATCTCATTGATCGAAAAAACATCAATTAAAATCCACATATGATTTTTTTACTGTCGCAAGCAGTCTAAAATGCGACTCTCCATACAGTTCAAAGGTATACCGGTTGCAAAAGATGCATTACCGAGTTTTGCGAAGAAAAACGCGGACGAAGTGAGCTTGATACTCAGCAGTTGGCTCTGCAATAATTTCGAATAATCTGAATACGGAGTACATTCGAATACGAATTCGAATAAACATTCGAATAAAACATTCGAATAAAATCTATTCGAAACCCCGTTTTTTGATTATTCGAGTTTTCGAATAATATTCGAAACCTCGTTTTTTGATTATTCGAGTTTTCGAATTTTATTCGAAACCCTGTTTTTTTGATTATTCGAGTTTCGAATTTTATTCGAAACCCCGTTTTCTCAATTATTCGAGTTTCGAATATTATTCGAAAATGGAAGAACTCCGAATATCAAATTTCGAATACGAATATATTCGAATGTTTTATTCGAATGAACGAATTTCTATTCGATTCGGACCCAAGTATAGTAGATACCCAAAAGTCACTTGCAAACACTTCAATCAAGCAATTCAATGAATGAATCCTTAAGTAGACTATATATTTTCTAAAAGCGGGCGATAGGAGGATGAGATAGCATCCATCTTGGTGTTTCAATTGTTCGTCCACAGTTGCGAATTTATCATCCTAAAAATACAGGTGCTCAAAATCATGCACCCCTTCACTAAACTCTCGAAAAACGAAAGCCAAGCAAGCTATAAATCATCTGGAAGCTGAGGAAACAGCGGTTTTGAAGCAACCTTCTTTGCTAACACTGCTATTCATCCGCAGAAGTTTTTTTCCTCCTAAAAATGGATATGCCTTATCGAACTAATGGAGAAAATTTCGCAAAGATCTTACCTCTGTATCACTAGGAACCGGCTGCTGTAAGTATACCCCCGTATGCTCTTAGCATGTGATGTAAGGCCAAGGGTTCAGCAATCCAGTTTTCATTTCGTCCTTCGCAATCGACTACCACTATCGTCATTGATTTTAGCTATGAAATGGCTGAGAGTCTTCATGCTTTTTATGCTTATAGCAGGTGGGCGGTTCTCATTCATCGAATATTTCTCATGGTAGCAAAAGATTGGTACTCAAATAGATATAAATCGATGTAGGGATTTGTTTATCCCTTTAATTCAAACTGGAACGACTGATTGAACGGAAACAATATATCTTATTTCTACGCTATAAATGATACGTATTATCTATTCTGAGACCAGAAGACTCGGGACCGCTCTGCACATATTGCCTAAACAACCTCATACTCGTCCTCTCCTAGTTTCAACTAGCAAACAGCCCCAGATTAGATGCACCACAAACTTATTGACCGCACGATCAAGCTTGTTTTGACAATGCGTGCAGAACGTACTCGAAGTCTCTTAGTCTCACAATGGATGATGAATCTTCTCTGGCACCAGACATATTTATGACATGTTAACCACTGAGCACCTTTTTTTGTATGGAACTAACTATTTTCCCTTATATGTAGTTGACCATGCCGCCCGGATAATTTTTTAGTTTTCCAATTCCTACATGGTGTAGACACAAGTGCGTTCGAAAAAGCCTAACGATAGCCTGTTATGCGCTTTCTAACAGAAAAATCTGCCGAAATAGCTGCCCCACATGCGTATGAAAATGCCAGTGAACCCGCATTTGTCCATCATTCATGACGCCATTTTTTGAGCACAAGTGTTGTCACTAGCACAAGAACATTATGTTGAATTGTCAAATTGCAACTGCAGTACTTCGTTCGAACTTTTTTTTAACGCATAAGAATGACGTTTTATAAGCGCAAACCTCGGCCGCCTATTTGTAAAATTAATAAACGTATTATAGAACAAGACATTTTTGGAACTGCGCACTCCCTCATAACCAAAAACTAAATCGCCAACGTTTTTTTTTTCTTGACAAGAGCGCAATTACCTTTTCAAAGACATCAGCCACTTAACACATTGACGACAACGCAAATTTTTGACGGTCTACCTTTTGGGACCAAAAGCTTTCACGGACCAGTCAGCATTTTTAAGATAAAATCACGCATGTGCCATCTACAGTATACCTACAGTAGCTGTAGAAGGCTGGCAAAAAAGATAGAGGTCCTTTCTAAATTCACAGCGAAAGAGAACTTTTGGAATGAGTTTGTACCAGAGAAGTCCTCATTTTAACGATGTTTAAGCCTTGTCCCAGATGGTATTTTGCCCGGCAAATTTTCATTCTATACATTCTCATTTAATGTGTCAAGCGGTCGTCAATGTGTTAAATGAGAATGTATAGAATGAAAATTTGCTAGGCAAAAACTTCATGTCAGTCAGAACCTTCGCATAAGTGTATACGTTGGCAATCCCTGGAAGTGGCCCGTAGCGTCCCGATTCCTACAGTCCCTCCTCCTTTTAGCTGCGCGTCTAAGTTTCCAAGTGCGTGAAAAAAATCCAAACTAGAATTTTTTATCCTTTAGATTGACTACTTTTCGTCGACAACTTTCAGCACTCGATACATTCGATATGCGCAGATTATGTCAACATGCCATATGTAGCGGCTCCGCGATGCGAGCGCTCCTAGAAGTAGGAGGCCGGGAGCACTGGTTGCTGTCGCGCTATCCGGCGACATTTACGGTTCTCAAGCTTGCCGGAATCGCCCCAGGACCTCTCCTCGCTTGGCGTGTTGTCACCCAAAAGGCTATATATAGCGGCGGTGCCTCACTTCGGTGTCCGTCTGCTTTTTGTTCGCTTTCATTTTCGGTTCGCTTTCATTTTCGATCGATAATCTTTTAACTGTTTTCTACAGTGCTCATGCCTGGCAGTCTAGCTCCCGTCTTTGATGTCACTTTCGCAGAAGTGGCTGAGCTTATCAGAATTTATAGTAGTCGAAAGTCAAGTCTGATTTGGGATTTACTTTAGATGGGCCACCTTTTGAACTTTTGGAAGTCAGAATATTAAGATCTTATGAACTTTGGGAGCGGAGAGGTGTTGCGCCTGTTATCTGGCGAGTGGCGGATCTGTACTGGTGAAGCCTCGGGAGCATTGTCATGTTATTGAAAGTTGTATAGACGCGCACCATCGGTACGGGACAGGGCACCCTGTCCCTTGCTGGGGTGTTTCTTCTTTTAGTTGCAGTTTAGTATTTTAGAATAGTGTTTTGTTTCATTTTGTGGCCAAGTGTAAGTAATTTATTTTCTGTTTTGTTATGCGCTATAGAAACCTACCGATTCGCCACACCATATTTTTTTCAGTGCATGCATGATTTCCGAAAAAATTCTTGTCGCGCGCCTTACAGCTCTGAATTGAGTAAAAGCAAACAGCTTTGATTTGAAAGAGAACACTTCTGACTGTGTCAGCATATACCCATTCAGTGAATTACTTCAAGATTACAAAAAATCTGATTTATTCACAAAAATATGGATGAATCAAGGATCAAAACGGTATTTCTCCTTCAACAAAACCGATACCTCATTTAGTCGATTTTTCAGGCTCACTAGCCGTCTCTATCGTTGATGTCTATGGTGATAAACGCTTGCAATACAAACGAAAGAACGATAGTCACACGATCAATAACTTTTCGCTAGGACTATGTTAGAAAAGAAAAAAATGAGACCATCTACCTCATCATATTACAAGATAATGTACGCAGATAAAGTGTTTTTGAACCTCAGCCAGTTCCCAAACACCTCAGAAAACATACTTTGGATAGTCTTTATTTCAACGTCTTCTTCTCGGAGTTAAGTAACAAGAACGTAACTACAAAGATAAAACCCATAACACAGATATTAATCTGGGCAAGCGCAACAATGCGGCCATTTTCTTAGGAACTGAAGGCATGAGCTTCTCTATCTATCCTCAAATCCTAAAGATATGTGAAGAGGATTTGTTTTAACAATGCAATCACACTTCTGTAGAAAGCATATACTCAACTTGACAGTAGATACACAAAAACGAGTCATAGTGATGCAAGAAAGTGAGACACAAAACACTAATAGATAAAGAAGAGTTTTTTTCTAAACAAAATGGCACTAGCACCTCTCAAATATACTTCTAACGAATTCAAGTTCATTACGATAAGGTTTTACTATAGCAAGATGCCATCAAAAGTTCTCGCGCCTCAAAATGTTCACGCGCCCTTGCGTAGCGGCTGTGTACTTGACTGCAAAGTATAAACAGACAAGGATTATTCAAAAACCGACATGTTCAAAAGAAAACTAACAGGTGAAAGAGACTGACTTTTAAAAACACAGCCGCAACGCAACCGCGCGCGGTGCTCCGTCGCAACTCCAGGAAAATGATTGCCGGCAATTTCACCTTTTCTGCACAACAGTGCAAAAAGACAGCAGCTGCTGCCAAACAGCTGAAAAATGTAAAATAGCGTGCCCTTTCAAACCTTCGATGGCGTAGTGACCCGAAACCCTCTTGCTCTCCAAAAACGAGAGCCAGTCAATCATTATCTATGAAATGTACAACATATAACAGTAAAGGATAAAACTAATAAAACGTTCTCATGATAGTCATATTAGATATGAATATAAAAATTATTTGGTAACAATATCAGAAGACGTCACTTTGTCGAGCAGTTCGTCTCTTTCAACTTCTTTGAATTCGGAATCCTCGGCCAATCCACCAAGTTGTTCTTTGGAAAGTTTCTTGAAGAGGAAACCATCACTGTGTAGTATCCGAAGGAACAAACTTCCATTGATTAGCACAAAGCAGGATGATCCCAACATCCACATGCAGAAGTAGTACCTGTAATGTGATAAAGCGATTTTTCAAAAGTAAAAAGGGATTGAAGGATCTTCGGCAAAAAAGACGGAATCAATCACGAGTCTACCCGTACTCAAAAGCGAAAGAAGAGGAAGGAAAAGAGAAAAGTTCAAATTCCAGATCTATTGACACTCCCTCTTCGGTGATTATGGTGAAGGTCGATACAGAAGTCGCTTAACGGTGCAAAAATGCCATCTTTTTATTGCGCTTTTTTTGAGCTATGCAATCAAAATCTTCTACTGTAATATTTCCTATAACATAAAAGTAATTTCATAACTCACAAGTGCATGTTGTAGTAGTTTTCGAATGCCCATAAGACTAGCCATAGCTGGATCAAGAAACGGAATGGTAGGAATGCGGCTACATTGAGGTAGGAGATCACTTTGTAGAGACCTATCATCGATGTAGTAGACAGTTTACTCTGATTCAAGATGGAACGGCAATGAAGGAAGATCGAGGATACCTGCAAAATGTAAATTAATAAACTTTCGTAAAGGAACATCCACACAATGGGAAAGCTAACACCATTGAACTTCAAAGGCATGTCCATTCAAATCTAAATACGATAACGGGGCCGCTGACTAAGTAACTGCTCAAGTCCCGCAGCAAAAGGCAAATTCTGAAGCGAGAAACTCGCTCCAGAAAGCAGATGCGGCAGGGGTAGGCACGCCCATTTACAGTCGAGTAGATTTTCCGCTTAATATTGTGTGCTTGCACAGAAGGTGAAATGCGGTAAAATTTGCGCGTGAAGAAATAGCTTCGACTGTGACGCCGGCCAATTGCGCGCGCAAAATACCGGCAGTGCTGGCGCAGCTATCTGTTCACGCGCAAATTTTACCGCATTTCATAAACTGTGCAAGCACACTATATTAAGCGGAAAATCTACTCGACTGTATGTGAGCGGCCTAAAGGTAATGAGCTCAAAAGTGAACTCCAGAGTCCAGATTATTATTATTAACCAAAACAAGATTTTGGACATCTCCAGGTACTTTGATTCAGTTTAGAAAACAGTATTTTCAGACCATCTGACAGACCTCTGCCGCAACCGACTTTTTCATTTGGTTTAAATCGGCTAATCGCGCGCCAACCATCTTATCCGGCAATGAACTGTGAAAAGTAAAATAACAAACCTCCATCAAAAGCGCCCAGTAGGAGTAAAGCATAAATTTATGTGTGCAGAGCGAGATAGATAGGAAGTACATCGATGTGACATGATGAATCAATAACACAATACCATTAACATTCATCCTGCAAATTAAAAAAAAATATTTTTGTGTTCAGATCATGCAATCTCTGCACTTACACGTCATTTATTGCCATGTCGATTGAATCGTAAATGAAGTACCCGATTGAAAATGATACCACTTGTAATTCTATGTAGCTGTAGTAATGCATTGGTGATGCAAACATTAGACGTGCATTTTTGAGAAAATATAGAAGCAAAAATCCACCGGCAAGCTAGAAGAACAACCATAGATCTTTGCCATGAAAAAAGAAGAGAGAAGGAACAGATGAACTCACAGAAGAATGTATGAGTGATGTGGTAAGATTGATGAGACGCCGTCGCCGGAATCCTTCTTGCCAAGTAGTCCAACAGTATGCATTCACCAGCATGTTGATACAGTACCAAATCAGTGCATAACAAGTCAAAGGAATCAAATTTTGCATCGTAAATATCAAGCGGAAGTTTGGTATATGCATTTCAGCGCCGTCTAAAACGTGGATGATCACTTCGACTATTAACTACATGATTATTAATCTTGATAAAACTTGTCTTCAGGCCCATCTGAATGAGCCATAAATAGAGTTCCTTATCCTTCATTCAAACACGTGCAAAAGCCCGAAAGAGAAGTAAAGTCGTAATGAGACCCTATGCTCATCTGTCGTGGTAAGAAACTGATAAGTAGGCGGGATCGCGAACTGAAGGCGTGGTCGGCAGCACTACCGAAGCGAATTTAAGCTTTCAAGACGCTCTTCCCTGCTCCGAACTTCACTGATTTTTAGCGGGAGACTTGGGAGACCTGCTACTGCAACGCTATGTCTCATCCCCCTCCCCACTTTGCCGAAGCGCTGCGTTCAGCCTCACTAGATGGCATCGCGCGGAATAAAATTCATCAAAATGTTCAAGCCCCAGGCTAAGTTTTCAAAAGAATTTACAACTATCCGCACTTTGAAGCAAAATAATAGAGCGAAATATAACCGACGCTACTCGTACTGGCGCTAAAACCGCAGAAAATCCCTATTTTTCCAATCCTTTTTATTCCACCTCATAATCTAATAGGTCTCACCTATACCAAAAATTCGCATTGCTGTTAAACGATCCTCAGGTAGAATCTGATGTCTAAATATAAGTGAGTGAATAGGTTCATCAACAAGCTACAGCACGCAAACAGATATATCCATCATACATTGGTGAGAAGGGTTTCATTTATCAGATTAGACGGAATCACACTGTGAGAACATGTGTTGTGTGATACTCACAATGCAGGCTCGATAAACTAGCGCTCAACATCGAACAATTGAGTTGAGTAATAACACACGTTGGTTAACTAATTGATATGTTTACAACTAATGTTTTGCAGAAAACGACGGATGCACGTGTTTTCAAGTTTTTGTACACCTTGCTTGCAGAGAAGGAATTTTTTCAAATAGTTTATTTTGTACTCCAAAAAAGCTCAAAGAGCAATCTTCACTTTTTCGCCTAATCAGCCGCAATTTAACGGCACTTGTAATGCCATTAAACTGCGGCTAGAGTTGCCTGCGTGCCAGAGCCATGCCAGAGCCCGGCATTTATCGATCGACGTGCAAACACGAAGCTAGCACGACGCTGGCACAACAATTCGGAACACAGCCTTAGGCACTGTGCACGGAAAAATATGTTTAAGAAATTAAAAAATTCATGGGCTGTCTTACAATGTTTATCTACTTTTAGCAGCGTCCAGGCTGTGTCAATCCCTTTAACATAAGGATCCGAATCGCTGAAAGTTCGCGCCGTCATCGTGAGTGTGTAGCTTGCACATTCAATGGCGTCATCCATCAGAGGCCGCCATGCAAGCCTTCGCGCTGCGGATGCGCTATCTCTGCGAAAAAGGGAACACTCTATTGACCTAGTCTATGAGAAAGGGGAAATGGGGGAAGGGGAGGGGGGAAGACATTATCCGAGATGCAGGCAAATTCTAGCTCTCACATTTTCAGATAAAAGTAGGAAAAGGAGTCAAATTTGTCGAAGGAAGCTAACACGACACTTTTGAATTTTATGCTTCTCGAACTCAAGATATTGATCGAAAACAAAATTCCGGCTTTGACTGGTTAAACTCACTTTTCTCTCCAAAACTTGAGTAATTATCTACAACTACGATCGGAAATGGTTCCTCGTAGAAGCTACCCGGAATTTGCGGCATACTCGTGTCCATAGTGCTGCCTGAAATGATCTACAGTAGCTTCATCAAAATCTGAAAACGAAGTTGCAAAACACAAGAGTAGAATATTCCAGCAAAATTTGTTTGCTTAGTGAGAATTTGCACGACATAATGGATGCGTCAAATCAATAGAATGAATGATTACATTGATGTTAAGAACCCACAAATGGTAAGTGTTCATTCATGTAGGAGAAAAAATTAAAAGCAGATGATTGGGTATACGATTTATAGGTATTATAAAAGAATTACTATCTAAAGAACATGGTGTAGATGTGTTGAATAAAGACCAAGTAAACGAACTGATGAATAGGTAATGGAAAACATGAGGAATATATTTGGCACGGCAAAGCATATAGAATGGATAATTTTTGCAAACATGACGGCACCCTGCATACAACTAATGAAAACTAACGATTATGGATGACTCAGAGGGCTGAAAGATGAAGATCACTATCAAATTTGAGCAAAAGTTGAGATATTACAGATAGATAGAAGATAGATAAAAATGAGCAGAAAAAATACAGTAAGAGGCACGCAAAGCGGAAGACTAAGAAGGTAGATGAGTAGACGGTCAAAATGAATGATGACGTATGTTTATGCTTATACTTGAAAATTCGTGACATCTCGTTATCGGGGCAAATACGCTTCATTTGCATTTTATTAGAAAGAAGAAATCTATGTTAGACTAAATGTTAGAGTTAGATTTTGAGTGTTGGACTTTTTAATATCTCTTCGGTGAGTTTTTACTACGAACGGTTGCAGAAAAAAGTTAAGTTTCTTGGTTTGTACGTCTCCAAGAATTAAAAACGGTAAGGTTACCAAAACCGCTATTCCATGAATTTCATTACCTCTTTGAGTGAGAGAAGTTTGCGCTAAATGGACATTTTACGAAAACTTATGAATTCTGAAAACCAAAAATAATTTCCGTGTTTGTACCGTTACCACGAACTTCCTAGCTCAAAAAACTCTGGCAAGTATAAATTTTTCCAGTTTGATAAAATAATGAAACTGTGTCTGGAACAGGGAGAAGTTGAGTTCAAGATAAAGGAAGGCAGGAACTTTCGCGCCAGCTTCATATAAGTGGCTGATAGAAGAATGAAGGCAATAATTATGGAATCCTAGCAAATAAAAAAGAAGGTAATATTATTGAGAACCATGAATATAAACTACTAGCGATGGGAAGCTACTAAAGGAGTAAGATGGAACAGTCTTTTGAAGCAATCGAATGCAAAAAGCGGGGGATGGAATGCGTATTTGATCGATGCCTTCGCAATCAAACCACTTCTTGCCTTCGTCAGGGCTTTTATTCAACGCCTCATTTGTTTATAGCCAATAGCGTAGGGCGCTGAGAGAACAGAGATTTCCGTAGGAAGGACAAAGATGACAGCGCTCATTTATTCAACAGCAAACTGAGAACACAACTCGCCCTCAAGTCGTCTTCGCCCCCGCTTCCTTCAAGATGACGTTATTCGTAGGCAGATTTGTGTAAGAGTGAAGAACAATTTGTACTCTTATCTAGGAAACGAAGCTAGAGGTAAGAAAAAGCTTACTTTATTTACGGGAAGGATTCTTGAATGAGTGGTTCCGCTAATAGAAAATCAACGTAAGTGCAAGAGACTGTGTACTCAAACTTTGGTTGCAAGATGACATAACCTTTTGATAGATATTTCATTCCACTTCAATTCTATAATAGACTACTAGTTCTGAGAAATTTCAACAACAAAATGCTTTCCATAGCTTACAATTGATAATATGACATGAATGACTACCGATCCGTTGATGGAAATGTTGTCGACAGATAACGTTTTGACAGGGAACTAAAAAAACTACAACGAATTAATCCTTTTCTAATCTTTTACCTTCACGATCAGATAGTAATAAATCAGCTTGACTCAAGACTTAAATGTTAATCTTGCCTGTAGGTAGAAGATTTGCTACTTATATGGGTTTAAAGGATTTCCAAACTAAAATTTGACTTTCAGCTCTGGCAGCAGTGAATCAGGAGCAGCATATTCAAACGCATAGACTTGCACCGGAGTTGCACAAATTTTTACCATAAAACTCCACCAAAATTGGTGTTTCTCAAGATTAAAGCAAGTACGGAAGGATAAAATTATGATGATACTTTAAGATCTAGATGCCACATGCACAGCTTTAGGGCGGACAGAGAGAAAGGGACTGGGAGAAAATGGGTCGCAAAAATTTGAATGTAGCCAACATGATTACAAAGATGAAATGACTCGATCTGAATAGCTAGAAAAAAAAAATTCAGAATTTTGAATTCAAATCAACTCTGGAAAAAAATCGTGTCTGCCACGCCTCCTTTCCCGAAAATTCCGAGAGTATAGAGTTTATACGTGAACAAGTAACTTAAAGGTGACTTCACTACCTTTTTCTGGGCGCAGACCTGATTTTTGTCCACATTAACTATTTATGGACTACTCACACAGTTGCTACAAAATTAACGTAGTCCAGATATGAGTGTATTCCTGAATTGTAGAACTAGCTTTGCTCTATCGTATTACAACTCAACTCGCTGAAAAGTAGCAAGAATAATATTTGTTCGGAAATGAATAAATTCAAAGGAGACCAAATTTTGAAGAGACATCTGTAAGCTTTAGAATTGGTAATTTTCACATACTAAAACGTCCTTTCAAGCAAAAAAATTTGAAAAAAAACTGCTCAAGCTAGATTTTGGCGTGCATAGTTCTTGGTTCTCTACATGTACCTGCAGCGACCTTAGCTCAGCAAACAAGACATTCTAGAGATTTTTCCTGCTGACTGTAACAATGGAATGCTGCTCAACAGATGTTTGTTCTAAGCAAACGTTACTTGGTCATCGAACACTATGTGAGTCAGCAAAAGAAGCTTTTCTACTTAGAAAGAGATTAAAACGAACACCTTTAAAGTATTTAAATGGCAATAGCGTGATGATAGATAACTAGAATGAAAAGGTGAATGACATGGAGTTGCAAATGTCACGGTGACAAGATCACCTCATTGAGAGCGTGATGTGCTTTTCAGATAAGGACAGAGTGGAAATATCGTGCCGTGCATGTCTCAGCTGTTTTTCGTTCAAAATACTTCCGATCAAGATTGTTATTCAGTGATGATCATGAGTATAGATCATGCATAATTAGCTCAATATCCAAACAAAAAAATTTCATTTTACTGAACTATAAAAATCGAGGAGTTCACTGAAAAATTCGCATATGACAAGCATAACGCTGTGTCCAGAGTTGCCCGTTTCGGGCTGGCGCAGTCAAACAATCAATACGAAATTTGTTCTTAGACTATGGTGACGCGACGCGGTCACGGCGCGGGCACGACGCTGGCACGCAGGCAACTCTGGGCCCAGCCTAAGAGGTCACATTCGTTACCTCAGTTATCACAATGTGTAAACAATGTTGTTCCCTTTTTAATTCCGTTCCCTATCCCAAGATTCGCATTACTACTCCCGCTTCTCGATTAACCTCCACAAAAACTCTGTTTTGGTTACCCTAATTTCACGCGTATAAGGCGCACTTTTTCGATTTTTCAAGCGAGCCGCTCAGCTGCTTCATTGTATTCCGGAAAGTAATCCTTATACCGCACGATTCTCTTAAGCGATATACAGCAAGTTATAGGGTCCTTTGGTTGTAAAGTCCTTTGGCGTGTCTGGCTGGTCGATTTTGGGAAAAAAACCCCCCGCGCCTTATACGCGTGAAATTAGGGTATTAAATGCACTAATCAAATGAACGATAATGAGAAGAAGATAATCCCATAATTACAACATAATATTTTGAGCAAACCCCAGGTCTCCAAAGTGAGACAGGGTAGAGGGACAGTCGAAACAACGCTCAAAGAAATTTTCGACAAGATTGATCCTATTTTATGCTTTTACAAGTTTAGCTACAGAGTGTAAGATTACATCACTGTCTCAAAAACACCACTGTCAGTTTTGGCTGAGATGGACAGTTTCGCTCGAACACAGTGGAAAAAACCGAAGCAAACAGTTGCAATTTCCATCACGTGAGACTAAACAAGTTCGAGCTAACACAGTTGCAGGACAATTGAACAAGTCGTTATTCCTCAGGGGCTAAAATAACAGAGAAACTCTCGTTAATTCAATGAGAAACAGGGAAACAACGGGAAGGTTTTACTCAATAACCCTTCAAGGAGTGACACTCCATAAACAAACTCTCTTGAAAATGTACAGAGTCCAAAAAGGGAATTCACGAAATCGATTTGGTGAAAAAGCGAGTAAAAGAATAGAATCAATAAAAGGAACTAGAGACATCAATTTCACTTTCATGTTGCGAAAAGGTCCGGAAAACCCTAAAACATAACAAGAAATGGATACTTGGCAATTTCATTCTTGTCAACGAAACAGAAGAGATAGGAACCAAACTAGTTTTCAAACTTTTTGGATAATAAATCTCACCCAAGATATTTTATTGGAGATATATAAGGGAACGAATAAACACAACTTGCATGAAATTTAGAAAGAAATTGAAGTGGTTAATTTTCAACCGATTACAGTAATCCAACAGAATTATAACTGGAGCAAAAAACAAACAGAACGCAACCTTGCAGATGATAAGGGTCCAATTTACTTCCTGATCTGCTATCGTCTTCTTTTTCGCTAATCTCCGACGCCCCCGGGAAAATAGCCCCATGCCACATGTGCCGCTATCGCCTGCCAGCAGGCGGTGCCGACCTCAGCCAAGGTCAGTGGCCTCGGTAAATTGCATTGCTCAATTGTGCGGAGCCATTGCTTTTGAAGAAAAAAGGTGGGCGCTTTCACGGCGAAAACGAAGACTTCTGCCCCAGTTTGGTAAACAGTGCTACACTCGTAGGAAAACGTCAAGGGCCTGGTTTGACTCACTCACAAGGAAACGAACTAGAAACGACTGGTTAAAAAAAGAACTGGTTTCTGGTAAATCACATACAACCGAGCGCTCCCTAATTTATGGCTGGAACATACAAGGAAGTACGATAGCACTGTTTACCGACTTTTTGACTACTTCGACTTAGCAAGAAAAGCATCGAACAAATCATTTTGAATCTTTCAAGGTAAGTAAAGCAGTTTCATAGAGATGGGTGATAGGTGTGGTATATTTAATTTAGGCTATCAAGTAAGCATTTATTGAAAATCGTAAATCAATCAGATTGAAGGTCCACTCTCGCACCACTGATTTTCAAAATAACGGAAATCCCTCAGCAGATTTTTTATCGCTGACAATGCTAATTATCAAGCATGTCCTCAGGAAGACTTGCGTCTTCGGAACAGAAGATCAAGAAGTTCCTCTCACCAGTTATGTTAACCCAGCACTTAAGCAAACACACTAAACTGACATGATATCAATTTCCCCTTTCTTCCTTTCCCTCAACAGCACTATACCTCCTAGATGGAAAATGAAATGGCCATCAATGACAATCAAAAGGCTATAAAGAAAAGAAACGACTCTTTATTGGAAAAACTGCTTTGACGGCCGCTGATGCCCCTATCAATATGAGAAAAAATATTCCTATTGAAGTACCAAAGAGAGACTAAGGATAGAGCGACCAACTGCGAAATTTCTGCGATCGATAGCAACATTAAATAGACATTGATCATCGAAATGGCAGTAAGTTATCGTCAACTATGGAAAAAAATCTTCTGCATATGATTCATGGACGGAAAAAAGGTCATGCTGCATTACGTAACTGGAAGGATCCAGACAAAACTGAAGTATCAAATGTTGAACCCTGTTACCTATCATTTTCCGCTCAAAAATGTAAAAAGCAGACAAAATCAAGAAAAAGAATTCGACCAACTGTGGAGAAATCTTGAAAGAAGGAGCTGATCAAAGAGAAACTAATGTCGCTATTTTGAAGAGAGTTACTTATAAATGACAAACGAAACGGGTTTCTGAGTTAACGCATTTCCGCGTCAATGGACTAAATTAGTATTCAAGATTATGTCACACAACTTTCTTCTCCCGTCATCTAGATTTACAGCAAAATTTCTCAAAAGGGGGAGGAGGTAGATTCAAAAGTACCTTCTGTCAACATGCAATGATTATAGTCCAGTCTACTCCACAAGGAAAAAAAGGAAATACTTGCAGAAGAGATCGTTCTACTCGATGAAAGAGCGACGAGGGAAAAGTAAGGAAACTTTTTATCAGGAAAACCAATTCCTATGCAGCAATGAAAGGAACTGCCGCAAGAAAAAAAAAGCCAATTAGAAAAGATCTATTGGAAAAAAGCACCATGTAAATTCAAACATGGATGGACTTACCGCTTCACGGCATATCTTTGGTTTCAGTATTTTTGAATAAATCGAAGTAAATCGAAATATTCAAACTACGTACCTCCTATACAAAACTGCTCGATAATTCGAGTACTATTCAATTCAATCATCAACGTCCTACTAAACAGACGCAAATCCAGCGATGTGGGGCATAGACTCCTACATGGTAGCGGAAGAAGTAGGAGAAAGACGGTGAGGACAACGATGTTAACGTCCATTTCACCTGTAATGCGATGAAAATAGGGATAGCGGAGGGAGGTTTGTCTCGGCATTCTCGGCAAAGATTGCACGCATTCTCATATCAAAATGATAGCGATTATGCGTCAACAGAATTGAATTTGACGAATAACATGGGGTAGAGAGTTAGAAAGGATACAAAGGACACAAGTGAAATTTTGCTATTATAGGTTGCGACACAAGCCCATGAACAGATTGCGTATGATACAGCAGCTCGTTTTTGGGTCCGCCCCGAAGAAAGAGCATGGGAACGCAAGAAACGCAGGTTGCTAAAACCGCGCCGCAGCAGTCATCGTGTTGGTCAAACGAAAAACTGATTGGAAATCATCCCAAAAAGAAGTAAAAGAAATCCATATAGTCAAAAAACGATTACCTGGTCATATGGAGACGGAAAACGCAATGAATGCACCAAACAGGAACCGGCAAATATAATACAAAAGGCAATTATCAAAATTCATGCATTTTGAATAAGGGATGTTTTTTTCTTCTCTTTCCGCGCTATTCAAGTTCATACACGCTTTTGATCAAACAGCAGGAAAAGAGAGGAAATATTGTGAGAAAAACATGCAGATAATAAAAGCGACAATAATGAAAAATTTTGAAATAAAAAAAGAAACTTGCAAAAATGATTTGAGCTTTCTTTGGTGGATGTCTTTTCATCATAAATAGCATTAATGAACAAAGTTCAAACATTCCAAGGTTTCTAAGTGCAATTCCCTAGCAAGAACATCGCACGATAACGAAGTTCTCAAAGTAAGTTCTAGAAGAGAGACGAAGCAGGAAAAAGCATTTGCCGACATGACAATTTGATTAGAAAGTAGAGCAGACACTCTCCTTTCTGCATTATGTATGTAACCTAGCAACAGAACTGCGGAATATTCGCGAATAATCAAATATTCGAGAACTTTTTCTGAGCGCTATCGATTTAGGGGGAGCGCGAGGATAAGTTGGATGTTGGGTCCTGCCAAGAACATATGCTTGAATTTAAGCGGTATGTGATTTAGAGTATCCAGTTCTTCTAGGATACGTAACCAGGAGATACCAAAGGAGAAGAGCAAACGGCCATCTTGCGCAAAGCCATGCAGAAGAATATTGAACGAAGGGAGAGACAGACGGAGGCGCGGGGGCGAAGAACAGGGAAGCATAGTTTATGCGCAAGTAGTTCGCATAATCTGGCTATGACAGCTGCGGACCAAAACAAGTCAAGCGAGGAGTTCAGGACGTCCGCACGCTGCGCTTTTCGGACGCGCAGAGACGTAGAGGCGGTCTCTGGCCGATTGCCAACAAGCCACCATTACACTAATTGGATGAATGCTTGGAATGCACTAAAGACCAACCAACTATGGAACTTCGGTACTAATTTTTTAGAAATCATCTGATAAAGGAGCAAGCAACTCACCGCGGTTTATCGATTTGCACTTGAAAGCAAATAGAAAGAAGTGCGAGGAGGTCACGCAACCCGTCAAAAGTGCATTTTTTAAATTCTAGGTACTAGCTGTACAACATGTACATAAAACTGAGAAAAGCTGAATGTGAGTTGAGAACACGTGTGGCATTCGGAAGCTAGAAACTGCAACTTAGCGGTGGGGGCCACCGGTGTAAAGTGTCAATGTGCTCAATGGCAGCCGCCTGGTCGAGCAAAGTTCACCGCAAAACAGGATTATTTTTTGCAGCGGGGATTTCGATGCAGAAACGGGGAAAACAACATCTGTCGTGTTTATTGTCGATTTCGATGCTCGCTTTGGCAGTTTGATATTGTTAAAAGTAAAAAAAATAGCATATAGTCTATTTGTGTGCAATTACACACTGATAATGGAGTCATTTGTAACGTGATATGTGAGCATGCACACAGCGCACGGCACTCCACAACACCTTCACTAGGAAAGTGCGACCGCTATAAAGCAAGAAACAGTGTCAGAAAGTTTGCTCTTTCTGCCTGCCTTGATTATCCTAGGAAAGAAAATAAAAAGTTTCCAATTCGCTTGCGAATGCAAAAGTCGTGGGATGCTGCGGCGCTGTGCAGTACACTTCATTTTACAAATGACTCATCTATAGCCCTTCTGACTAAGGGACTCACAAACACTATGCGCGAGTTGCCCAACAAGTTGTCAAACATGTTTAACCTCTCATTTCAAGTAAATAGTTGCACATCTGAAATGAAGTGAATCACAAGTTTAAACCTGTTTAAAGGAGCGGATGACACTGTCTTTTGAACAGAATAAATGGATGGAAAATATTTGCTAGCATTTTCTAGATGTGATGATGAACGAGTCAAAAAATCAGAATAAAAACAAATGGATCTTCAGCCGTAGAGGTCCGCAATCAATAAAGTGTGCAATTGCACATCTTTGAGGAATTAATGACGCGACTATAGCTGCAACGCCCATCTTAACAAATGGCTAGTTTTTTTGATAAAAAGTTTGCAAAACGATTTTTTAGCGTTTTCGAGTGATTTCTTCGTTCCAAAATTTATTTTACGTTCCCTTTGCGAAAATCACTTTACTTGCCCCACCACTTGAAGTCGAACTTTTCTAGCTCCCCTATTCACCTCCATCTGCCTCTCACCGACACTTGATACTGTGAGGAAACTTGGCCTGGTCACACACACTGGATCGAGTAACGATAGAACAAGTTTTCAAGTGGAGCTCCCTTTGCTGTGAAAGCCGACATAAACTTTGGCTTATGACTTTCGTCACGGCTGAAGTTCTTTTCAACAGTTGTCACATTGCTCTATGGCAAAACGAGTGTTTGCGATTATTTCCCTCAAAAAAAAAGTAGAGAAAAACATGACAAAGAGAAACGCTTAACAAAAGGAAGATGATTGCTTTTGAAAGATTTGAAAGCGTTGATAAATAGCGATAGCATTCAGCGAAGTTATATTGAAAAAAATTCCTAAACATATGGAAATGTTGTTACTTCTTGATGAACAAGATCTACCATAGTAAGCTTCTTCTATAGTCCATACCGGACGAAAGCTTTTCCTTGTGAGGTAGACGCGCGCGCGAGCGATTGTCGGCCTCGACTGTGTGGCATCGCATGCGCTTCAGACTCCGCCGCCGCGTTCGCTTCGCAAAGATAAACGCCGTCGACCTTCGTCTGGGACTAGTCTCTATATTTCTTAATGAGAATTTCCAAAAAATCTTTCTCCTATTTGGCAACTAGTTCACTAGCACTGTGAAATATGAGTCTTAGTAGAATTATTGTACAATTGCAGGTGCGGATTTTTTCCAACCCCCCCCCCGAAAATCAAATGCTAGGACGTCAATAATCCACCTGTATTTCAAAATTCCGATTTAAAGCTTTTTTTATTCTACTGGAACAACATCGTTACATCTTGTCAAGTAAGCTTCCCCTTTTTATCCTACATTAAAGTTATGGTGCCATTTTCAAGCTTCAGTGATTCTCATGTGTTCAATAAAACATTACGAGCACATTAAACATATGAGCTTGCACAGGGTCAATTGACCCCATGGAAAAGAGAAACAAATTATCAAGTATAGGAATAAGCGATGGATTTGCATTTTTACAGTTTCGGGTGGACGAAAAACTTCTCTTTGTTGCAAAAAAAATACCTTTTCTACGTTGAAATTGTTGATTTCGCAGACGTTTACAGGTGATGAGGCCACGCCCTTTTTGGACGCAAAATTCGTTGAACCCTTCCCACAAAATTTCACAGTAAGAAAAAGCACTAAAACAAAGTATCAAATATAAATAGCTGATAATATTTCAAATTTGGGGATGTAAGTTTATTAAATGATAAAGAGTATATAATGGTTGAATAGAAAGCTGCTGATGGAATAAGAACAAAATAAACGAGCTCAAAAGCTCTGAAAAGGGAAAGTTTTGAAAGTTTTGAGATAATTCTGGAAAATTCGTCACTCTTTCACAAGCATACTAGTAACTGACGAAGCAGAAATTGATTGCACACAAATGCACTCACATATAGCAGTCAGAGGCAGGCTGGCAGCTGTGCCTACTCAGCCACGGGAATGTTCGACAGGGCAAGGGGGGGGGGGGAACGAATGAGGGCGGAAATGGGGAGGCGGCGCCTCGCCTTGCCACATTGCTCACTGAGTGACGAGTGTTTTTTGGTCGTTTCGAGACTATTCTAAGACGAAAATCAAGAAAACGTCCGAAACAAACGTAGTTGGTACTTAAAGTTGCATGTTTTCGTCAAAAAGCTTGTCTGGAACGAGCACTTTTGAATGACAGGTAACATGAGTAAATTTTGAGCGGAGAGAATAATGTTCAAGGGGTTTTGAACAGAAGAGTTCGAGTATATTTTAGTGCCCATGCGTTGCTGACAACATTTGCGCGTAGTTTAATGGCTACAAGGCGTGAAATTTGCACACGTGCGCCCAGTGTCATTTTTTTACGCGCAATTGTTGTCGCCACCGCATGTGCACTATATTAGCGGGAAAATCTACTGCGCTATTGAGAAACTGCGAAAACAAGTTTTGAAATATTTTTTTCAAAATGAATATGGCAAAAATTCTAGGAGTTGAACTCAACAAGAGTTTTATAATTTTAATGGGCTTGATATAGTTCTTGTGTTACTCACAGTATCTGTACGTAAAAAGTGCCATGGATTGCAAGATTCGAGATCTGCGCCACGGCCATTTTTTACGTATAAGTGTTGTCTCCACCACAGATGTCTCCACCATATTAACGTCTAAATTTAGAGCTTTTGGAAATTTTGCTAGTCTTTTTCATGAAGCTCTGTAGTCTACCATGCATTCATGTGGAACAGCGATGTTCTATACTTATTGTGAGAGGGAAAAATACGTTCAGATAAACAAGTTTCCACGAAAGACAGATTTCCTAAGTAACACAAAAAGTACAATCACGTCTATACTTATCAATGCTTGCTTTGGGATATACAAAATCCAATGCCATATGGGAAAATGTGAAGAAGCGGAACATAAAATCTCCGAAATCGAAGTTGATGATGATGGAAAAGAGACAGTTTATACTATGCTAAGATAATTCACGTATGAAA